TCCCAGGTCCGCGCCACTCCGGGCTGCATCCCGACCGTTGACCAGCTAGAATGATGAGATCCACGCTTCTCCTTACAATGGCCTCATCACGCTGCTGTCTCTCCCTGCATGTCAACGACGCTGGACCCTCCCTCCCTCCCCTGACCAATACGTCCGGAACTTCTGCCCGAAAGCCACGACGTCGACGTCTCCACCACCATCACTGCCGGCATCGACCCTAGCTTCTCCTGGCGGCTCAGCTCCACTGTATCGCCTCCTGCAGGAAGCCACCATGCAAACACGTTGTCCGCCATCCGAATAATGGCCACAAACCCGCAGGAAACTCCGAGAGTCCGGGACGTCGGTCAGCTTCCATGTACGTCACGTTTGAATGTATATCTTCACAGTCATCGAATAGAGAAAGAATCACGGACAGTAGACTGATTCGGTCGCGCGCAACGACTAGTCCATGAGTTTCTTGGACTACCGCTGAGAGATGCTTAGTTCTGGTCCACAAATAGCATGGCCGTTCACAGGGCCGTGGGCACTTGGTCCTCGCGTAGGACGGCCTGGGCGCCGTTGATGGCTCAACTGCTGTCAACAGTCCGGTCCTGAATCTCGTCAGCAATTCTCCCTTGACTACCGTCTCTGCATCGCATTGGCGCTTTGACTTTTGTTTTCCGAGGCTAGAATCTACCTACCGTACCTGCATCACGGCTGGCGGATGGACTGGCGGATGGGCGCCTCCCCGTCGGGGCATCTTGAGCCTCAGGGAGAGAGCTGCCCGACCATTGTGAGTCGACCTCGCATATATAAACCCTGTGTAACCCTGTAGGTCGACCTCTTCTTATCACGCTCATCTCAAACCAAGTCATTCATTTGCATCATTTCACTCGCCCGAGTCATTCTTTTAACAACTCGTACATCCTTCTCTTTTAGACTTCTAATGGCTCCTTCGTGGCTCAAAGCTGCGGGTCTCTTGGGCCTGGCTCTCCAGGCTCAGGCGCTTACCGCGACCACTACTACCTCCGCTGCCGCTGCTCCTACCACCACTGCCCCAGCGTCTACATCAGCGGGTCCGGCTGGTATTCCCTCCGCCGCTCCTCTGCTCTCCGGCAATGGCATCTACACAACCACCAACACCAGGACGCATACTACCTCCCAATGTTCTTACGTCTTTGGCTCAGCTCCCGTGGCCTCGATCCCGACCATTCTGAACACTGTCACCCAAGAATATCCGGTTACACGCCAGACCAAGACCACCATCACCACTGTCGTCACCCCGTCCCCGTCGGTCATCGTTGTGCCTTCAACTGAGTTTGTGACCACGACCACCACCATAAGCTCCACCACCAATGTCGTTACCACCACCTCGCTCACTGTTCAGATCCTGAACTTCGAGACTCCCTGCACCACCAACCCGATCGTTTACAGCAACTTCACCGTCGTTGTGCCACCTGCCACTATTACTGTCAATCCGAGCACCAACTTCGTTGCTGCTGGTAATGGCTTGTCCTCTTATCCCACTGCTCGTGCTATCAAGCGTGACAGCAGCAATTTCCCGCAGCAGATCCTCCAGAACGGCACCTTCTTCCCTCCTCAATATCCCATCGCGTTCGTCTGCAATACTTTGGTCCAGATTGTTACTGTGGACGTCATCGTCATCCCGGTTGCCACAACCACCAAGACTGCTGCGGTGGGCGCCACCACTTCGACCTCGGTGACCGTCGTGACTGCCACGGCGACCAGCATCGTCTACTCTGCCCCGAGCACCGAGACCGATATCTACACTTCGACCAAGTATATCTCCCAGGACTACACCGTCACCATTCCGGTCACTAGCACCTACACCAACACCCACACCTCGGCTGGACCTACCCCCACCTACTACGCCGCTTGCGGTCCTAACAACGTCATTGGCAATGTTGATGGTGAGGGCATCAAGCTTGTGACTCTCAATGAGCGCCCTGCTGGAATCAGCGTGAAGTCTCCGTACGACTGCTGCGTTGCTTGCATCACCAACCCTACCTGCGCATTCGCCGAGTTCCTGGCTATCCTCGATACCGGGTACGACTTCCAGAGCAACTGCTACCTTGCGGGCACCAGCACCGACGATGGTCCCTCCACCGTGGCCGGTGAATTCTACATCAGCTCTGATGCTCAGGTCAACTACAACTACGTGTCCAACGGCAACCATGGTCGCATTGTCTTTGCCGGGTCTCTCACAGAGTCGAACACTACTTCTGGCGGAAGCTCTGCTGTCTCCAACAGCGGCACCTCTGCTTCAGCCGCCTCCGCCACGACTTCTGCCGCTGCTGCTGCAACCAGCAGTGCCGGCTCGGTCACCACGACTGGAGCAGCCGCTGCAGGTTCTACTTCCGCCACAACCACCTCCGGTGCCTATGGAGCCTTCGTTGTCTCTACCACCACCGGCGGTGCCTCCGAAGAGACACCAGTCGTTGCGGCAGCAGCTGGCACCCACCACCGCAAGAAGAAGCACCACCGTGGCGGTCGCAAGCACGGTTCGCTGGCTCAGCAGGAGCGCGAACGGGCCAAGGCCCTCCAGGAGGAGCGCCTTGAGGAGCTTGCCAAGGGCAAGAAGCACCACAAGGGCAAGAAGCACCACACCGCTTAGAAGGTGGTTCATCCAAGGCCAAACACTTTTTTTTGGCATGCAACATTCTTATCACGCATCGATAGACAGGGCGGGCACTATTGTCTAATGACTAAACTTATTCGACTGGGTCTGAATTTTCGGATGGGAGTGGGTAGCTATCTCTCTTTTGTCGCTGGGCTCTTTTAGACACGGGTGCGGGACGACAACTTGGGCAGGTTTCGATAGACAAAAACAAAAAGACAACTGTGTTGTTGCAGGCGTAGCTTAGAGTTTTATGAATGGAGTTTATGATATTCTATTTGCACAACATTTGCTCTTCCATGCATATCGACGGTGATGGTATTGGAAATCTTTCTGCATGTTCCTTGAGGACTTAATCACTCACTCCCATCTCGACCATAAGCTTGCCAGGTCCGTCCCGCCACGATTGCATCCTGGGGATTCCCGATCCAGCCGAAACCTCCTTCAACTGAGCAGCGGGATGTCCGTCGAGGATTTTGAAAGTATCATCAGTGTACTCGTCGATATCCATACCCTTCATCTTGGCCTGGAGATCCTTATGACCCGGTCCCAGCTCTGTGCCTTCGACATACGGCGGGACGATCTCGATGACATTCACACCCGTGCCCTTGAGCGCCTGCCTCACGCCCACGGTATACTGATGCACCGCGGCCTTTGTCGCGCAGTAGACGGGGAACAAGCCGCCCAGCGGCACGAACGCGAGACCGGACGAGGTCAACATCAGCGTTGCCTGCTTGCCCTCCTTACTGCGCGCCAGGAGGCGCGGTACGATGTTCCGCGTCAGAAGCAGCGGCCCTGAGAGGTTGGCGGTGATCTCGTGGATGTAGTCCGCGTCCGTGGTCGAGGACAAGTCTTTGAGGTCGCTGCGGTTCTGAATCCCGGCGTTGAGCCATACCGTGTCGATGTCCGGGTATGTGGTGAAGAGCTTGTCTACATGGGATGGGATGGAGGAGAGGTCCGTCACGTCGAAGCCGTAGGTCTCGATGCCGGAGTTGTGCTTGGACACTTCGAAGAGTCGGCTGGTATTGGGCCGGCCGGTCACGATCACTTTCTTGCCTTTGCTGTGCAGCCGTTTGGCGAAGGAGAGCCCGAGGCCGGTCGTACCGCCGACGATCACGACTGTGCTCATAGATGAAGTCATAGTGAAATAGAACGAGATATTTGGAATTTTGAGAAGGGATTCTTACCTTGGGGACTTTGAGAGACGATAGACCTACATTTATATAGCTCTTCATTGCCTGTAGGCCGGACATAATTACACAGGCGAACCTCCGACAGATAGGGACTATCGATGCTTTTAAGATGCTTATTGCTGTATACACGCTACTCGTCGCCTTTAAATCCGGCCTGTACTTCAGGGTCCAACAAGGGTCCAACAAGGGCCCCGGACTTTACACCGTCCGGGCATCTGCACCGGACCATGATATCTGCATGTTTCCGCCGCTCACTGCGTGTCTGAGGCTTCTTGATCATGACACTTACTCGAAATTGGAGCGATGAACGGTACTCAGCTGAGATCTCTGCACATTGTGTACGTATGCGACAGACGCGACTCCTGCAAGCACCACGCCTATCGATGAGGTACCTACCCTCGACAGCACCGCACCTCTACTGTACAAGTTACCTCTTGTGCCTTGAATGAACTTCGTACAACTTTTGCCTGAGTGAGCACCGTGCAAACTGCTGGACAGCTCATTGGAGCAAGGAAGGGTCGGCGCCTGTGCGACGAGATCGAGCAGCAAGATCTCGAGGGAGCCGGATCAGGCAGACAATTCGGGCAGTCCATTCCCTGAATAGGAATTACCTGCTGGGAAAATACAGGCAGGGCAACGGACAACAGATGAGTCTTACACGTTTCCACCCACTCTTGTTCTGAAGTGTAGTCTCTCCGAAAATACTACATACATGTTTCAAATTTGGCCTAAGTCGTCTTGCGATCTCGTTCCCGATGCGATTATGCTCTCGTGTTGTCACTATGTGATTTTTGTCGACTTCTGGCACACGGAGCATTTAGATGCATGATGGGCCTAATGAAATGGACACTCTTCTGCGTTGAAAAAAAAGTCATACCTTCACCGACATGATTGCAGCGCGGCGCGAGATTGAAGCGCTTTGAATTCGATTTTGGGTGATGTCATGAAGATGCTAAGTGCTACTGGAATAAAAAGCATTGCTGGAGTGGGCTACGCAGAGATACAATGTTCGGGGCTTGTCGCAGTAGGTGAGGCCCGGACTTCGTTCAACAACAGCAGTTCTATAAGAGGAGCTACCTGAAAAATCCCTGATCAAAATGAACATTGCAATCCCATAAAGAGTTGTCATTGTATTGACTGAGCGATTGTGAACAGCGATCAAGCAAAAAAAAGACATCAGCAAAAGAATATTCCGATGCGGGGAATTGAACCCCGGTCTCGTCGGTCCTGGTTTCAGTAGAAACTTTGAGAGCGACGGATGCTAGCCACTACACCACATCGGAAGATCATGTGATCGGTGCGATCATGAATTACTCAAAAGCTAGAAAAATATATAAACTAAAACCTAGCAAATCCTTACCAATACCGTGCATTCATGGGGGCGATACAAACAGACCTTATACAGCACGACTGACAGACAGAAACAACCTATAGTAAGAATGTGCGACCGGAGAAATTTCCTATCAGCAGGGTGCGCGGCGAGAAGTGCTACAAATGCCCACCCTGAGATCGTATTGAGTCTCGGGTGTGTTTGAGGAACATTCTCTACAGTCTCCGTCGTCGCTTGCCCAGCTTTTACAATCTCCCTCTTGTTTCAGGCGTCTGTGATTGCATGCATGTGGTCGTCAGCAGCAAGAAGCAAATGCTATATTGGATGATAGTAGCCGTCTTCTGTGCTAACGTAGCTATTTGGACGTTGAGCGCCGTTTACATACATGCTCTCCCATTGCCGCAGTTGCTCTGTACAATCTTTGAGGAGCACCACTTGCTATCTACGCAAGAGGCAGGCGTCTGTGAGCTGCTAACGAAGGTATAGGCTGTCCTCTCTACGATGTGGTGATCGCATCAGCTGCATAATCGCCTCCGCAGTATCTAGAAGTACCTTCACTCCACCAACTATCCATCTACTCTCGCTAATAGGTGATCTCTATCACGGCACGAGGCGAGATGCAGATGGCTTGGCTCAGCTTATGTTCTGCCACTAGGAACAAGGCCATCGTGAATGAACGGCAGCCACTGATAACGTGGATGTCTACATGAACAACACGGGTCATTGTTACCCATGATGTCACGATCATTCATCCTGTCAGTCGCGCTCCTCTATGGAAAGGAGGTATCGCCTCACCTCGTCGTCCCATCTCTGGCCCAGAGCACACCCGACCCTCCGAGGCGTTTGACATCACCTTGTTGAAGGAAGCTGCATGATCCACGCGCCGCCGTTCCTCCACGGCGTTCTAACACACCTAGATGGTCCGTAAAACTGTACTTAGCAATCCAAGTCTTTATTGCTAGACCCGTCGTGCTCGTTGTCAGTGTTGCAGTCCGATTTGTCCAACTGACGTACCCCTCCTCGAAATTTGATTCTACTGCACTGCCCGCTCGAGTAGATCGGAACTATCATTAGACGGTCATCTCGACGGAGATGACACAATGGTCATTTGGAAGGCCAGAGAGATAGAATCGCATCCGCTGGCTCGAAACGAGATTAAAATAACAAGCAGGTGGAGCTTAGCAAAGATGGTCGATGCCGACTATGTTCAAAAACATTATATATTTCCCATTTCGGCGTTGCCGTCAGTCTGATGAGCGCTCTTTTCCAAATGTTTCCCGGATTTTACCCCTCAACTCTGTTTCCACTACTTATTCTGACTGTTGATTCCTGATTCAAATTGCTGTGTTCCCAGTATGGAAACTATCTGCTTCGATACGGGCTCTTCTTATGTTGTATTTGCGTGCTTACATGATTGGACGATCTTAGATCATTGTAAAGTCACCATTTTGGGGGCGTTAAACTCAATCTTGGGTATTCGAGTGTACGCCGATAAGCTCCCTGCTACTCGTAAACATCGATTCGTCATGTTCCATCTTTGTGTCAGGTGTCATACATCTCTCTCGGTGACGCACGAAGTCTTTGCTGAAAGGTATTAAATATCGCGAATCAAGTACAAACATAAATCTAGTCATGAATACTACTCGTCCCACCAGCCGACAACTCACTAACAACCCTGGCAGCGACGACCTGATTCTGCGCATTGAAGCTGACGAACGATATGACATTCAGCCCATAGTAAGGACTGTAGATGTAAGCCTTCTCCGTGACCGCCTGACCGTTGACAGTTGCCTGCACTACTTCGCCCGTAGCGCTGAAATCAGTCGAGTACGATCCGACTACACTCCTGCTCTGCACGCGTCCGTCGTTGTCGAGATGCAGGTCCACGATCGAGCCGTCTTGCTCTAGTACACGGTTGGTGTGCGTGTTGCCCGAGTAATCGTTGACCGAGTAGAGGATGTTATCGTTGAGCTCATACGAGCGAGTGGTCAGATTCGATGCGGCCGATCCATTCGAAGGAGCAGAAGGAGACGAACTTCCGCCTCCGAGGGCGCTGCCCACGCCCTGTCCAACTTCCCCGACTGCTTGTCCCAGCGAGGCGATGGCGGGATTGAGATCGATCGAGTTGAGCACGTCGTCGATCATAGTCACCAGATTGCCCAGACGAGCTTCGAGCAGGACTTTGGCCGTGACGTTTTGGATCTGGAGGTTGACGCTGTCGATTGACGCGGATACCCCGGCGGAGAAATTGAGCAAGCTCAGCACTTGAGCATCTAGCGAGATCTTTGCCGCGAGGTTCTGGACGTTGATGTCAATCTCGCCGACGTTGACGGAAGCATTGAGGAAGACATCGGGTTCTGTGACGGTAGCGTTGGAGGTGTCGGTCTCGTCGGTCTCGTACAGCGTGGAGTCGCGGTCGCCGGAGACCTTCAGGGCGTAGCCTGTATATCCGCCATCAGAAGAGGCAATCGACTGAGCCTGGACGAGGCCCGTCCAGGCAACAAAGAGAAGGGCAGCAGCAGCCCTGCGATACATTGCAGCGTCTCTGACAATGCTCGGAGTATCAGACGAGAGGACAGAGTCGAAAGAGATGGACAGACAGAGAGGTATCACAAAGGCGAGTTGAGCAGCTGCATCCTACCAGTGCTGTGGGAGTTGGCTACGCTAATAGACGAAGGACCACACACGCATGCTCTCCCTCGAGCCCCGCACCACCAGGTCAAGCTGCGGTTACGACCGGCCACATTTCTTGGAACATGGGGGCCAGGAATGACGAGCTTGCGAGGGATGTTGGTTGGATTGGAAAGCAGGTCTGCTGTAGTCGCGGACCAGAGGAGTGAAATGCCGCTGCTCGTTCACCAGAGTCGGTTTGCTAGTGGTCGATGCGGGGCAAACGTGGCTTGGGGCTAAAAGAGTGCAATCTCCTTTGATTGACCTCCACCATGCAGCCTGGCCGCCAATCATCAGCCCAACCTTGCTGCCACATCCGTTAAACCGTCTCCCGTCTGTCGATCCCGGGCGGGGAGCCTCACGGTACCTGAAGTCTACATGGGTGGATCCTGGCCTGGTTCCTGGCAGTCAGGCGCCGGTCAGGATCAGAGACACTTCCGCTCTATGGGTAGCAGAGCGGGGATGCAATCAAGAAATCCTGCTTTGTTGGCTGATGCTGTAATTTCACCACCACCGATCGTGATCGCAAGGATGCCACCGCCGGCCATCGTCGGGCTTCAGCCATGGTCCAGGTCCCTCTGCATAGCGTAGGATTAATCAATTGGTCTCCCCTCGTGTCACCCAGTTGTAGTCGTCGGTGAACTTCCCGGACACCTTGTCCTGCTGTCGACTTCTTTTTCACAGCTTTGGATTTGGCGAACATCCGAGAAGATAGTCTACAGTCATGCGTTTCTCTCATATACTGGCTTATAGCAGCCTGCTGTGGTCAAGTTGTCTAGCGCAGACCAAAACCTCGACGAAGACAACCACCACAAGTAGTGCGACATCCCGTAATGCGACCACCTCGACTGCTGCGACTGGCACGACCTCTGCACCATCTTCCAGCACCTCTTCTCCGCCAGATGTGCTTCTGAATGTCCCACAATTATCAGTCGGCAAGATCGAGTTGGATGTAGAGAACCTCCAAGCCGACAGTAAGTGCCGTCCTTTGTTCACAGCGAGACGAATTTGACACTTCCACAGTAAACTTGAACGCGCGAATCGCAAATCTCGTCCAGATCAACGCTGGAGTCCAGGTCTCGGTGCAGAAGATCAATTTGACAATCTCCGACGTGGATGTACAGCTAGAGCTGATCGTCCGTCTCGGCCACCTCGTCGACATTGTAAACCGTGTATTCCAGTCGGTCGATCTCAATCCTCTCATTATCGGCGTGGCCAACGCTACCGAAGCCCTGGTCGGCGGCGTGGTGGCAGAGGTCGACAGCCTTCTGGGCACCATCACCCAGGGCGGCACGACCTTGAGCTTCATCGTCGACAACCTCGGAAACATTGTGCAGCAAGTCACCGGAACGGCGGGCAGCACTGTCGATAGTATCGTGGGGAATTACCTCAACAATATGACCTACACCGGCCAGTCGACCAACCTCGCCAACGGCTTGACACAGAAGGTCTACTCTTACACTCCTCTGAATGCTCTCGTTGATGTCGTATTCAACACCGCCGGACAGGTGGTGCAGGCCACAGTGGCCAAGGGCAACAGCACAACCACTGCTACAAAGCGATGATCTTCGACAGTCAAGCGTTATATGATGGGTATGTCGCGATCCTAATGTCATCAATTCAAGCTTCCCGTGTCTTGGTGACATTGTGAATGACGAGTTTGTCAAGTGAATCTTTCCTTTGCCATGAATTGCTGCGTGTGGGGTATCAAGAGAGATGTTTAAGATGTTCGACCTTCACTTCCTTGCTCGCTTACTCTCCCTCTCATCCTCCTCCTCGTCATCGCTCAGCTCACCGTATATCGTCTTCGGCTGGGTCTCACTCCACGCAGCGGTAAAAACAGGATCGCTCTTCGCCTTTTCCGCATATCTGAGCAGTGCCTCACGAGGATCTTCGTCACGCATACTGCTCAGAGGGATTTGGTCGCGCACGTAGCCCTCGGCCGGATTGGTCTTTGCGAAAGGTGTCGAAGCTGGTTGATGTGGTCGACGCGGATCACGACTGCGTCCCGAGGCAGTCAGGCCGACGTTTGGATGCCTGCTGGCAAAAGACGCCGAGGAAGGCACAGTCCCGCCGGGCACGATGATGGCATCCCCTGAGATACCCTGTGACATATCCGTCGTCAATGAAGGGTCGTCATCAATGTGTCGTCGCTTTGGCGCTTTGGACATGATAAGCTTGGCACCATTGTTGGAAATCTGCGGATCGTAGAGAATGTGTGTCTCCGAGTTAGAGGATCCAGTGACTATTTGGTTGAGCTTGTGATGCCAGAGAACGGTGATT